CAAAGAAGAGAAACAAACAAGTGCTGGGTCTGTTCCAACTCGCCCACTTATCTTCTTCACTGCAATATAATAAGAATATTGCATAAAATTACATTGGTTGAATATGTCAGAAAACTTTGCAGGATTTACAAAAGTATTAGGCTACACATACTATAATTTTGCAAGCACATAGAGTAGACACGTGTAAATAATGAATCACCAATACAAGAGTAAACTCGACGCCATGGAGGATAAAAACATGAATACACACAGGTCATGAATGAAAAGGCAGTTTTTATACAACGCAAACGGTAAGGTTTAAAGTTCACGCATAATTCCCACTTGGCAAACAGGAAAGCAGCTTTCGAGTAGTGATATGATTAAGCAGATGGACAATTTCATTCTCTTATCGTGCACCTGTGCAAAAATAATTAAAGCCTGCATTTGTATGAAATTGGTGATGTTTATGATGGGGCGGTATACTCCACATGTTATACAAGTTCTAGGTGCAACCATTACAAAGCCGGTTAGAAGAAATAGTTTTCTGGCCTTTTTCGCGGTTATGGAGACATAGTGTTTTTTCCGGTTTTTCTCCATCAATTCAGAAGGGCAATCAGATATACGGTGTTGCTTAACTATAGACCTAACCACTTGCTCTTTACACACTGTGTAGTTTATTAAGTTATTTGTAAATGGGGACCAAGTAACGCCAGTGTAATGAAGTAGTCGTCTAACAAATGTCGAGAAGCTTTGTTGATTGTGGTGCTGAATGGAGACACCTTTTCGGGAAAAGGTAGCCTCTTTATTGCAGATGATGTTACATAATTTACATGCGCTTCCTTCCTCAGATCATCTCACAAGATTAGTCAAAGACAGCACTGTTCGTTCCCTGGATTGAGTTTGATGATGCCATTGTAATCAGAATGTTTACCGCATATATTATATTCCCGTAGTAGCAAAACATTTTCGACACGCGTCAAGGTTTACATGGGGGTATAATTGCCGCGGTTATTGACTAGAAAAAAATGATTATTTTGTCATCATCCGCATAATTATTATTACGGTCATCACCACGTAATTATTTTTCCCGACCGACCCCACATTCACCGATCAACCCCACATCACCAAAATTTCCGAAGCTGCACTCCCTAATGCTACAGGACCTTGAGCTGCTATAGAACAACGCTGTGATATCATGGTTTGTAACGCGCCTCATGAACGTTGTCACACAAGCTCTGTACTTGAAGTAATATGCAATCGGGTCAAACGCAACCATTTTGTTAAACGCTGACACACAGAACGCCACGACTATCTCACAAGCCGATAGTCGCTTATCACAGTTTATCTTAGCACGCACTTGCATACACTCTATGTACACGAGTAGAGAGTAGCAGGTTATCGTACAAGTGCTCGAGTCTGAAAGGTCTTACTACGATAGCCGGTCCGAGGAGTGAGCCAGCACTCCCAGTCACTCCTCCATCTTTCCGTAGGTCTCCTGTGCATTGTTATCTACAAAGCCACACTGGTGCATTTCTTGAACGGCAGTTTCAGGAATGACGACAACGCTGTTTTATTGCGATAAGAACTATATGGACACTTTCGGCTGGATTTTGTCGCTGGCGTCATTCACCGTGAATGTATACGTATCTATATATATGAAAACGCAAGAAAGAAAAATAATTCAGGAAAATATTCCGGTGCATGGAACCGAACCACCGACCTCTGAATTGTGAGTGCAGGGCGTCAACCACTGAGCCACGACGGAGCACCTCCTTGAAAGTTCAAACGGCAAGCCATTTATGTCTACCACATACCGCTGGCGATGGGCACCTTGGGGGAACTACCATGGCCTCCGAGAAGGCGCGCGCCGCGGGTTTCTCTCCAGCCGTCTCAATCGAACGGAGGGAGCATGTTTCCAGAGGTGCGCATGACCCGCTTTTTTCTCCGCACCGCGGCGCTGCTTCGTAGGGTCGAAAGGCTGCCACGCTTTTGGTGAAGCTTGCATGTGGTGACAAAAAAAATGGTTTTGCGTTTCTATACAACTTCTCACTCATTTGCGAACGTCGGACCAAGGTGTTCGAGAGGCAAAGTCAATACTTGGGCGTACATATTCTCAAATGGGCTTTTTGCTGCAGGTTTACGCCGCCCATATTAGAGCACTAAGAGTTACGATGCCTCTGCAAGAGATCCGAATGTGCTGGAAACATACCATGCTTCGAAGTTTACTGGCTGTACGAACAGTGCAGTGTGAGAGGATACTGACAAAGAAAAAAAAATGACAGACCACCAGGGAAAGATAGAAGAGTGCCTCGTTCTACGCTCATGGTTACACTCGATTAAAGGGGATGGTTTTTATTCCCTTTCATGAAACTAGCGCTGCTTTTCATTGTATAGCCTTTTGATGAAACCTCCCGTCGAGCCGCAAAAGCAGGATACAGGGAGGAGGGTGTAGGCAGTTATGCGTCTAGACAATGTCTAGACTGAACGTCACCGGTTCCGCGACGACCACGGGCTGGTTACAGGCACGTTTTGCTCACTTGCGGTCGCCAATTCACACTGTGAGTTTTACGGTGTTCGGTCGGTACGTTGGGCAAACTAGCAACGAACACCGAATGTTTTTTGCTTGTTCAAGAAGTGTGAAACACACCTTCAGAGTTTGATGTCCCTAGTATGAAACACTGCGGTATTACACAGCAGTGACAATTTGCACTTTTTATTTTTTTACTACCCTACTTCGGCGAATACTTAGTTTTCAATAGAAATATGTCATTCTGCTACATGTGCGACCCTTCATTTTGATTCAGTTGAGAGTAAAGCAAGAGAATACGACACTGCTATTGCCATTCTGCTCCCAAAATACAATCGAAATTCGAATGATGAAAATGGAAACAATGACAACTCAGACACTTTCGTTGTGAAAGACGTGGGGAGTAAATGTAGATCGGCCAACCGAAGCCTTATACAATATTCCGGCTAATTATTTCACACGTATTTTATTTCAATGACATGACCAGGGCATCCAGTTATCTAGAGCATAAGTGCGCTTCGGTTGACCACCTCATAAATATCTTTGCGCGATATAATAGTAAAATTATGAATCAGGCTAGCAGAGCAATACAACTCAATGACGATGATGGGTCCAGTTTTCCCCTTACAAGTCTCCATAGGAAAGGAGGAATACTAGAAGCGCTCTATAGTTCTCAAATTGAGGTATTTAGCACCGAGACAAAGTAGACCATAACAAAAACATTAATACTGCCGCAGACAAGCTGATATAACTCTTGCCTATCAGTAAAATGAAGCAGTTGCCATGCTTTTCTTCGCAAATGCGACCTAAATAAGTGCACTAACAGAAAAAAGATACTTTCTTTCAGTTCAGCCAGACGATCCTGGCGAAGATTCTGGCTCGTAGGCAAAGAAACCCATGCGCATGCTGGAACCCCGTTCACTCTGTTGTATCAAAGTGGACGGTTGGGCTATTGTTTTCTACGTAGAACACTTAGATCTCTGCTGCATCTCATGGTCTCAGCTGCCACCTGAACTCAATGCGCCCTCTTGCGATAACCGGGAGCGTCAGGCGATAGTCGTTGATTTTGCTGGGGAGCGCGGCGATTGGGACGGCCGGAAAGAAACACGCCGCGCACCCGCCATCTCGGAACCACGAAACTACTATCGTGTTTTCGGCATTACCAGCGAGATGGCGCAATGAGCTGCATCGCTATAGCCCCTGAGGTTTTGCGCATTGCCAGATCGTCACGACGCGGCGGCGCGCACTCTCATCTCCCAAGCGTATTTTGACCCGCTGAAAGGGGACGCTTTCGCGTGCGCTCGATTAGCTCGCGATGGGGACTATCGCTCGCCTTAGGTTTCACCGGAACGAGTTTGTTGTAGTTACCGGGCACACAATGGTCACTGCACTCGCTGCATTGTCTCCGTTTGCGAAAAGAGCGCGCTTTTCAGACACAGTGAAGTAACAACTGAGACGCTTATTCCGAATCATCGATACCTGTGAGTACGTTTTGTGCGTCATTTCTGCGTGAGAAACGCGGGGCAAGTTTCAATCTGCTTGCCATTCTTCGCGTGACCTTCCAATTTGTATCGCGTCCATAGCTTCGCCTTTGCGGCAAAGCTGTGACTTTTTTTCTTTGGTACCTTTACGGGCCAGATCGGAAGCACCGTCTCTAGCGCAGGCGCTAAGGCTGTATAACAGTGAAAGCAAAATAGAAAATTTGTGCACTTCATGTGACAATTTCGCTTTGCTATCTTACTCCCCGACGAATCGCATAAATCCCACGTGCATGACGTTTAACTACCAACTAGTATAAGCAATATTCCTAGCCTCAGTCTAATTAGGACTCCAACGCCAAAAGAAAGTTGTTACTTAACTACATAGTGTATTCAGAAACGTTCCACATTAAACAACTGTAACACTCTGAAACAACTGAAATGTTGTCTTTATTTGAATGTATAAATATACCGACCTAGCTTCGTCGGAACAAATGCAGTAATAAACATATATAAATGAACAGATTGAAGTGGTGAGGTGCGTCATCACATTGTTTTACGTCACAAGCACTAAGAAAACAGCTTCCTCACTGGTCTACGAAATAAAAGTAAAGAAAAAACGTTTCCCCGTGTCATGAAAATAAAAATAGCACGTGCCGTGAAATAAACACGGTCAAATTATTCAAGCGCCAGACAAGTAAAAAATCGCAGAAATAACTCTTATACAGCTATCTCAGTCCTACACCTGCGTTAGCTCTCTTACTCAGTGTATATAAACAAAGTCCCTAAAATAACACAGGTACAACAAGGTCCAGCGTCATTCACATCCATTTCATTCCGTGCACGGAGATAAAAAAAGAACACACACACAGATAAAAAGAACTAAAGGACAGCCAGACTGCAGCCATCCCTCCCCTCCGGCCAAGTCATCCCTCCTCACTGATTCTCCGCTATCCCCGACGCGCCGATAAGAAAGGCACAATTTTGCGCGCGCACATGAGAGGGACGGAAGAGACGGCACACCAGCCCACAGAGTCCATCGATAGTCACGCAACAACGACGGCAAAGCAGGGAAACGAGGTCGCGCAGCTGTGGTGGCAGTGACACACGCGGATTGCGACAGTGCGCTGCATTTGTCACACCCGCCGATGCGTGTAGTCGTAGTAGAGAGTGAGCGCCGTCGCTGAGCAGCATGGCAGCGGCGCACGTGCTTGACTATGTGCTCTACGCGGTGATGATGGCACTGGGCGTGGCGCAGGGCATATACGTTTCGTGTCGCAAGCGCCACGGCCACGACGTGAGCCGTGAGGCCTTCCTGGGAGACCGCAGCCTGGGCGTACTCCCGCTAGCCGTGTCAGTGCTCGTCTCCACCGCCTCGCCACTCGGACTGGTGGCCCTGACAGCGCACTTCTACGCCTACGGTCTGCACCTCGCCTGGAACTTGCTCATCACTGTGGCGGCAGTACCGCTCGTCGTGTACTGCGTTGTGCCCGTCTTCTACAGGCTCGGCGTCACCTCCGTCTTCGAGGCAAGCGCTGTCAAGGGCTTCCCGCGTCCAGCGGGGCCCACGCGCGTTCGAGTGAAATGTTTGTATAAGGGCACTTGCGCAAAGCCTTCATGTGTACATGCAGAGCGCGTCGAAGTTCGAGAGCGCGCACTGCGAAAAGAATTGAGTGCAGGGAGTGACAACCACCGTGCGTACTCTTAACGTGTGTTCAAGTTCCTGCCCGATTACTGCCGCGCTTTCATAGCACTTGCTCTTTCAGGCCCGTATGTTGTATCTAACAGCGTGGCCTCTTAACATTACGCAACGCTGTGCGCAGGCATCTATAAACATGGAGCCTCAAAGACCGTCGTTTAAAACTCTTCGTTGTTTCTCACGTGCACGCGTTTTCAAAACAAATGCCCCTCTGGCCGGCGATGTGCTGCGGGGAGTCATACCATTGTCTCCACGTCTGCCACCCCATAGTCATAAAGCAACTGGCTCACAATATAAATGCGTCACAATATCTTGGCATGGCTGCATCACCAAATAATGCCACCTGAGAAAAAATGTCGGAATCAAATGGGCTTTAAAGGCGCTTTAGGCGCTTTAAATGTCGCAACCAAAGGGGCCTTAAACCTGGCGCCAAATAGATTGCTGTGCCACTTGGTGACGAAAAGGTGAATCACGTCTCGCGTCTCACGTTACTTGGCACGATTATAAAGGTCATGTGTGTTCAAGAGCTGCAGATTTAAGTTTGTGTATTGTTTCAATTTGTACGCATTTTTTCGCGAATTGTTCAGCAAAACTGCTTCTTTATAACGCCACTTTTTGAAATCGAAAATTGACTTGACAACTAAACAATTTGTGACGCTGGGAAGTTAGAACATTGAACATGTGAATTGTTGGCAACATTAGCGCGATCTTCTAAAGCATTTTTTTTATTCTCAAAGAAATACATGGTGCTCCTTAGAAAACAGGAATAAACATGTGTTTTCTTTGGAGCCGCGATGATATATTTTTCTCTTCGTGACTGTATTGTCATCGTTCATTCAGCCACTGCCTTAACAGACAAACCTAGTAGAAAAGTGCGCTCTCTGCTCATTGATTTTTTATCAATGGAAACGCTCAATGCTATGTTATTAATTACGAATCGAAAACAAAATTTACCAGACATCTCGGGCATGAACCCTTGACCTCCGAATTATACAATAACTTCGAATCTTGCGAATGCTTCGGGTATCAGTCTGATGTTCAGTAGGAGTCAAGCAGGGCTCTAACGATGGGGAATGCCTAACAATGAAAGTGAGGATGAGGGTACAATGTTTAGAAATACTTGGACAACCCTAATAGGAATAGTGCACATTGTTTTCACCTGCATAGTTCGTGTTCTTAATATTCGTTTCTTGGGTGATCCAGTCCATTTGGTTCTTGTTTCTGAAAGTTACACCTATTATTTTGATTTCGTTGTTAAGGTCATCTTAGTCGAAATCAAGAATACGCCAGGCAAGTAGCACATATGCAAAAGTACCATTGGTCATTAAGGGTAACAGACTAGACTCTAAGAGAAAGCAAGTGCGTGATTTGCGGGCAGTAGGTTAGGTTGGCAGAACAACTAAACAGTTTTCGGGTATACCGCTGGGATGCATCATGCCGCTCATATTAGAGGGGGCGGTTGCCTAAAGTAACGCCGGTGTGTAGGGGGCGTGGTCTTGACTTTTTTGTTTTTATTAGCAGAAAAGCGCCTTTATAGCATAAGTGCTGTTCATGTGGTTTCACGCTGGTTTACCTCATCTGTCCTGATTAGTGATGAGAGGCTTGGAAGTGAGGGAGGGGGGAGGTGCTGACAGGGGGGGGGGGTGATCGCTCCTACCACCCCCCTCTAGATTTGCCACTGGTATACATATATAACGCGGTCACGGCATGCTCAAGACCGGGTTGGTCGTCGAAATATGATAGAGCCTTTGCTTTGCAGCGAACGCCGTCAGGATGATGACAAGGACGATGATGATGACCACAGTTCGTCTGTGCGATGCCTTCTCTATTTTATCAATGCCACACAAATGCGCGCAATCTAGCAGTTCATCACCTTCTTCTCTAGCCGTTTCCTGCTCTCGCACATCGCCTAGCATTCGTGTGTACTTTGCGATCATGCGGTTGAAAACCCCTCATTCAGTGCCTCACGATGGAAATCATATGAGTTAATTTTTAAATGCGGAGCATTTCTTATCGAACTTCGGCGACTTTGAGCGTATCTATCTATCCAGCCGCCTACGACTTTTAGCTCTCTTGGCCGTTTCGATAATGGTATCAATACTAAACTTGGTATGGCAAAACGTGACTGTATGAGGAACATACTGGACTAGTTATAACATGAAAATCATGACATAGATGTCATGAATGTCATGATTTACATTTCATGGTCCTCCAGCTGTTGGGGTGGTTTCGCTCACATGGCATGTTGCAAAACTGGTATGGTATGTGATGATTGCATGGCGAACACAAGCGACAAACCCTAACATGAAAATCATGACATGCGTGTCATGTAACATGACTATATGCCAAGCTCATGATGCGCTCACGCCTGTTTCGCTAGCGTCACATATACCGAATTTCGTATTACGGTACGTGAATGGATGACGAAGGCATGTGACTGGTGCAAACATGACAATCATGAGATGCGTGTCGTAACAAGATGATTACATGCTACGCTAATGATGCGTTGGTGGCCGTTTTGCTAGCTTCATTTATACCAAAGCCGTATTATGGGACGTAAATGTATAACGATGGTATGATAATGTTGCAAACATGATAAGCATGAGATGCGTGTCATGTAAGAACATGACTACATGCTACGCTCATGGAGCGCTCGTGGCCGTTTCACTAGCTTCACATGTACTAAACTCGGTATTACGCGACACGAACGGACGATAGTTAAATGACCCATACAAATATAAAGAAAGCAACAGAATACCAATCAAGAAGGGTGTAAGGCAGGGGGACACAATCTCCCCAATGCTATTTACCGGGTGCTTACAGGAGGTTTTCAGAAGCCTAGAATGGGAACAGTTAGGAATAAGAGTTAAGGGAGAGTACCTTAGTAACCTGCGCTTCGCCGACGACATTGCATTGCTGAGTAACTCAGGGGACGAATTGCAACTCATGATTACGGAGTTAGACAAGGAGAGCAGAAAAGTGGGTCTTAGAATGAATCTGCAGAAAACAAAAGTAATGTACAACAACCTCGGAAAAGTGCAGCGCTTCGAGATAGGTAATAGTGCACTTCAAGTTGTAAAAGACTATGTCTACTTAGTGCAGGTAGTGACCGCGGAGCCGAACCACGAGATTGAAGTAACTAGAAGAACAAGAATGGGGTGGAGCACATTTGGCAAGCACTCTCAAATTATGACAGGTAGATTGCTCCTATCCCTCAAGAGAAAGGTATATAACATCTGTATCTTACCGGTACTTAGCTACGGAGCAGAAACCTGGAGACCTACAAAGAGGGTTCAGCTTAAATTGAGGACGACGCAGCGAGGAATGGAAAGAAAAATGGTAGGTGTAACCTTAAGAGACAAGAAGAGAGCAGAGTGGATAAGGGAACAAACGGGGGTTAAGGATATCATAGCTGAAATCAAGAAGAAGAAATGGACATGGGCCGGGCATGTAGCGCGTAGACAGAATAACCGCTGGTCGTTAAGGGTAACTAACTGGATTCCCAGAGAAGGCAAGCGGGTTAGGGGGAGACAGAAGGTTAGGTGGGCAGATGAGATTAAGAAGTTTGCGGGCATAAATTGGCAGCAGCAAGCACAGGACCGGGTTAACTGGCGGAACATGGGAGAGGCCTTTGTCCTGCAGTGGACGTAGTCAGGCTGATGATGATGATGATGGCAAACATGATAATCACGACATGCATGTCACGTAACAGCGTGACTACATGCCACACTAATGATGCGCTCGTGGCTGTTTCGCTAGCTTCATACATGCCGAATTTGGTATTACGTGACGTCAATGGATGACGAAGGTATGTGACTGGTGCAAACATGATAATCATGAGATGTGTGTCACGTGAGAACTTGACTACATGTCACAGTCCAGGTGCCAAGGCATTTAGACGTGACGGGGTGCGCGTGCTCGCCAGCGTTCATTTCAACGCGCCACGCCCGCGTTGCGACGTCAGGCGACGGTGCTGCCATATGCTCGCAGGCGCGCACCGCGCTGCGTTGCTTCGACGCATGCGCGTTTCAGTGCGTCTGGCGGCCCTCTTTCACGAAAAGAGGGAGACGCAGTGTGGTCTGGGTAACGCATCGGCACGAAATGCAGCATGTCGCTTTTCGCACCGGTCACCGTCGGGCCGCGCCGATGGACGCTGGTCGCGCCGGGGGCGCCTGGCGTCAGACTGTAGAGTGCTCGCGTTTTGCTAACGTAGCGTCGCTGCGCCCACCATGCACGCGGGTCAACGCCACATTGGAGTATATGAGGCACTTCATAATGCGCTCGCGGCCGTTTCGCTAGCTCCACATATATCAAATTTGATTGATTGATTGATTTATTGATTGATTTGTGGGGTTTAACGTGTGAAAACCACCATATGATTATGAGAGACGCCGTAGTGGAGGGCTCCGGAAATTTTGACCACCTGGTGTTCTTTAACGTGCACCCAAATCTGAGCACACGGGCTATATCAAATTTGGTGTTAAGTGATGTCAATGGATGACAAGAGTACATGACTGGTGCAAACATCATAATACTGACATGCGTGTCATGTAAGAGCATGACAACATACCACGCTCATAGCGTGCTCGTGGTCATTTCGCTAGCTCCACATATACTAAATTTGGTATCACGTGACGTGAATAGAAAACGAAGCTAAGCGACACATCCAAACATGATAATCATGATACGGAAGTCATGTACGACATCATTTACCTCCACCTCGTAACGTTGTGCTGAATTTGAAGTGACGTATCAAATTTTCTCATTCACGCTTCGCATATCATCGATTCACGCTGTACGCGGGATCTGGCAATTTTTTGTTAAGCTATGTACAAATCCATGGGGCGGCGCCTTGCATTCCTCGTGATCAAGTGTTGGCGATCACGCTGGCTCTGTAAATAATTCAGTGTTTTGACATAGCCTGTCGCCCCGCCGTGGTGGTCTAGTGGCTAAGGTACTCGGCTGCTGAGCCGCAGGTCGCGGGATCAAATCCCGGCTGCGGCGGCTGCATTTCCGATGGAGGCGGAAATGTTGAAGGCCCGTGTGCTCATATTTGGGTGCACGTTAAAGAACCCCAGGTGGTCGAAATTTCCGGAGCCCTCCACTACAACGGCTCTCATAATCATATCGTGGTTTCGGGACGTTAAACCCCACAAATCAATCAATCAATGACATAGCCTGTCGCCATTCGTGGTGCTATGTGGGCAACCAATGGAAACGCGTCCCGGTAACACCTCTGCATAACTAGCGCTGTGATGTGGCTGCGGCATAGCTCCCAGCTACAAAGACGAAGCATGAAGGAACCAATATGACAGGCGTATGATATTGGAGAGCGGCACATGTCTATCACATCTTCGGGAGAAAGCACCCGGGAACAAGTGCTCCAGCAGCGCTACACATCATGTAGCGTCGCATCACAACCACTCTCTGAACTGAGGCGAACCGATTGCTCCTTTGAAGATCACGCTTTTGCACTAGAATTGAATGAAATAAAGGAGGTGTTCGTCCGTGTTACTGCACGCTTGTGCTTAGATTGTTTTAAGCTTGTGAAGGCGGGTATATGTTGGAAACTCTTTAAATATGCAAATACGCTTCATGTTGAGCAGGAAGTGTACTGTTAATAATTGTCTGAACAATATAAAAGCAAAATGACTTCAGAGACGTCCCCAATCAGGACAAAGATCTAGGTTTGAAGCAGGATCAAAAAGCCGCATAAAGTGATCACCCAAATGGTCGTGAGAAATTGAGTGCCGGGTAATTCCTTGCCTTTCCACTGTTTTACTGCTAT